GCTTCCTAATGCTCTTATCAAATATAAGCAATTTTTCAGTGGAAGACAGGAAAACATATCAAACTCTAATACCTCTATAACTAGTTCTTTTAGCATTGAATTCTAAACAAAAGTGGTTATAATGTAATTCAAGATTAATATTTGATATGACTATCTGCTAAGAGACTCAGTAAGATTGCTTTCGATGAATAGGATTGCATACACTAGTAATGCTATTACTGAAATGGAAATATTTGTTTCCAACTTGTCCTAAATAAAAACATATGGTTTTACACTGAAGACTCTTTATTTTTCGGCTTTAAACTATCATATTGATAATTTCTAACTCTTAAATGTTGTCTCAAGTTCTGGACAGGCAAATAATTTTCTGCTTCCTGTTTTCCACCAATAGATGGCAGGTGAAGCTCTAGAAATGTATTTACTTCATAACAGCATGAAACAAGAACACCTATAGTTTGCAGGTATATAACCAGCTGTAAATCAGTGCTCTCTGGTATCTCTTCAGATGTGATCATTATTTAGTCCTAGCCCATCCACCTTGCACTATGCACTTCAGTCTAAGTTCAGGAATATGTACATTTTGTACATAAACCTGTTCATTCCTATTTCTTTTGTCCTACTCCAGTAGGTCAAACCCAAGTTTGCGCACACCATCTTTCTCTCTCGGTTGAGAAGGTATTTGTCAGCGTGGCACAGCAGCCATGACATTCATCCAAGGTCTTAGGAGTGAGCTTTCTGTAATCAAAAAAGAAAGCTCTGCGTTCATGCTCATGTCACAAATCATACTGGTTGTAAGCTAGAACAGAATAGCTTGAAGCTCAAGTTTTGATTTCAAATTCCATAAAAGCTAGAAACATAGCGGGCGGGGGGAGGAGAGAGAGAGAGACACTGGTGGCAGAAAGAGCCTACTACACCATTAAAACTAATTTATGAAACCACAATGAGGATACTCATAATGTGATACAATAGTTCTTCATATATAATGCTGAAATTTCTTCTTAAATCCAGTTATTTTCTGAAACACAGAAGCAGGAGGAATTGAATCTTGTTTACATACATGCTAGGCACAATGCTCAAAGTCACAGTGGAGTAGTATAAAAAGATAAAGATTTTCTTCTGCATGTTATAATGATTTTACGGACAGCAAGTAATGTGTTAAAATCAGTTAATTGTAGGATTTTCTTGAAAAATTAATAAAAGTGTGCATAAACCAGATGGTTTGAGAAGTGCGTAGCACAAAAGATACCTTTCCTTCCAGGTAATCTGCGCTAGTAAATGTACATTCTTTCTTCTGCAAAATGATTTCCTGAAATCAGTCTGCCTCACAATTGCCCTGCTGTTACTGGCAGTCAAAGTATTGATGACTAAGTGACCATTAGAGCTCAGCTGGTTCTTCAGTATATCACAGTAACTCCTCCAAGCTGACTGAGTAGACAAATTTGACTGCTCTGATCCCTGCATGGCAGCCTGGATGAATTCTATTAATCCAATCCATTCAGTAACCCTTCCATTTTTATAAGTTAATTTGGTTTTGTGAGCTCCACTTCTAATTGTAACTCTCAGCATGTATTAATGCTTCCACTGTATGGGCAACAGTAGCAAAACACAGATAAAACCCAAGGCCATCAAGAAGCATCAATGATTAGACACTGCGTAACAAAGATCATGCAGCTGAGTCAGTGACTATTAATCACTCTCTACCAGTACTGTTACAGCAGAGAAGGGAGGATGTCTCAAACTGCTTCAACTTATCAGCTCTCCAGTGAACTGGGGAAGTTTGGCAGCATATATCATGAAAAGAAAAAAAAAAAGATTTTAGGTGTCCAATCTAGATACCTTAGTCTCTCTAGTCCAGACAACAAAAAGAAGACAACTGTTTGAATGCCCCTCTGCAGGAAACCCCCTGAGTACGCAGGAACCTGAACTTCCAACCCTATCACCTCAGGCAAATACCCCAACTCAGACAGCATGAATGACCCCCTCAGATATTGTACCTGTGACTTAATGTGAAACAAATGGGTGCAATTAACAACCAGTTTCCCAAGGGCCAGGTCACAGCATGCAAAACCAGCACGCTACCACCAACTTGACAGTAAAATGACACTAGGCTGTACCTGGTCTTGACCCTTAAATGACAGCACATGTTATCACAACAGAATTATTAAATAATCAGACTGGCTCAAAGGTATGCATTTCCCCTTAGCTTGCTTTTCTTTGGAGCCTCTCCCCCTGAAGAGTAAACTTTTCATTCAAACTTCAGTTGAGACCAGCCTGTAGCCAGTGAAACCGCAGAGAAAGGTCTGTAAACAATAACTGCTCTGTAGAGAACAAGCTGACCTTTATAGATGTTAAACAAAACAAAAGGGTTGATTGATGCTGTGCAGTATGTGCTCTCTGAAATATTAAACCAAATAAAGTCATGGAAGATTAGTTTATGAACATACAGCGTGACAAATTATGTCAATGGATGGTGGGGTAGGAAAGGGGAAAGCACAGTTGGGTAAAATATTTAGGGGAAAAAAGCTTATATCCACAGTTGGAAAATGAAAAGTGTGTAATACTGACTTCTGTTAAATGGACATAAAACCCAAATCTATCTTCTCTAGAGCAGGTCAGTTGCTAAAGTCTCCATAACTTTTTTTTTTTTTTTTTTTTTTAAATTCTGAATAATACAGTAAGATATGGTATAATGTTTTTTAGAATAAGACATTAATTAGCAAACTCCAGCGGATAATAACTTAGATTTTAGCCACAAACATTACAGAGAAGGACAATCTAACTTATAGAGAATCACAGAGTCATTTAGGTTGGAAAAGACCTTTAAGATCACGGAGTCCAACCATTAACCTAACACTACCAAGTCCACTAAACCATGTCCATAAGTGCTACATTTACATGTCTTTTGAACACCTCCAGGGATGGTGACTCAATCATTTCCCTGGGCAGCCTGTTCCAGTGCCAGGTAACTCTTTCAGTGAAGGAACTTTTCCCAATGTCGATTCTAAACTTCCCCTGGTGCAATTTGAGGCCATTTCCTCTTGTCCTACCACCTGTTACTTGGGAAGAGACCAACGTGTACCTCAGTACAACCGTCTTTCAGGTAGTTTCAGTTTGCCTGTGTCTTGTCAGCCCAAACTGTAGACAAAGGCTGAAGAATGCTGCAAGTTTCTCTCTCTTTACTTTGCACCCATTTAATTTTCCCTTCCCCCAGGAATATATGAGAGCAGGGGGTTCAGCAAAACTACATCTCTTCCTGTCACTTTCTGGAATGGGCTAGTTTCGTCATCTGGCACTTCAAAGAGGTTCCAGGTAGACCTCCTCATTTCCACAGATGCTTCTCAGTCTGTAATGGTGTTTTCAGGTGTAAAAGCAGGTCCTTCCTATATGGTGGACATAGGAGCAGTAAGCACTGTGCTCTCATTGCAGCTGCTTGTGCCGGAACAGTTCTCCCACCAAGGAGACCCAAGGGCTCAAAGAGCTAGAGAGTCCCTGAAATTTCAATTTCCTGCAGTTCAGAAATTGAACATCCACACTATAAGAGTCTTGAGGCATAAAGATTGTTCAGCTGACCAGGTTGATGAGGAAGTATAAGAAGGGGGTCAGCAGGCTCAGGGTGGGTGCCAATAGCACTTTGATGGAAGATGAAGGATATGCTTATTGATCCCCCTGAATTTATAGAGGGACCACAAGTGACTTCAAGGACTTTGCAAAGAAACAGTTCCCCAGGCTTGAAACTGCTTAAGAGAGAATAGCTTTGCAGATCTCTCTATCCTTCCCAGCTGGTGCTCACTCCCAAACTGCAGCATTCCAGTGACATTCTCAGGTGCTTCCCAGCTCCTGCCCAGTCCCCTGCATCAAACTTGTCTTCCTGTCCATATCAACAAGTCTCTAGACATGTCTGTGCCCACCTCAACATACCGCTGAAGCCAAAAATCCATGGCTGAATATTCACATCCCTTTTGCAAGCAGGAGAGGTCTAGGTGGGATAAACCTTCACTTCATCAGCCTTGCAGGGGAAGCCACACCTCTCATCCAGTGGTAACAGGACACAAGCAGTTATTTGCAGACAGGTGCCATACTGTCTCTGAAGCAAAAGGCACATCCCCACAGCACCTTTCCAATACGATAAACTAGGACCTAACCATGTACTGAGAGCAATGCCCAGGACAGAAGTACCACAATACAAATATATTTGTGCCAAAAAAGTAGTGTTGTTCCTGTTGTGCTTTCTGTATGTTTTAAACAGATAAAATTTCTGGAAGACAGCAAAAATAGCTCTGGACAGCAGAGGAGCTATCTGGCGTTAGAGATATTTGCAATGCAGGATGACTTGGAGAAAGTTAAGGACCATACTGTGATCCCTCAAGTAATCTGCTGGGAATCTGAGATGAAAGCCTGAGATCGCTGAAGTCAAGACGTATCTTGAACTTCAGTGGGACCAGCACCTCTCCTTGGCTTTTAAGCAAAAATAAAAGTCACATACCTCTAAAAAAAGAAAACGTTAAAATGAACATGTTATAGATTATTTTGCCTTAAAGTGAAGCAAAGCAGTCTGCTAATAAAACATAAAAGTGCAGGTACATCTTTTTTGGATTGGCTATTGGGTATGGTCTGAACAAAACTTGTGAAGAGAAGGGACTTTTCAGGCAACTCCCAAAAGCAAATATATGATCACAATAGGAACCTTTGTTAAAGGGACAAAGCAGCTCACAAAAGCAGTGCAGCAAGGTGCAAAGATACCCAGGCAGGAGAGAGAAACAAGACATCACCCAACAATGAAAAATCACATTCAGAAGATCAGCCATTATGATGTGGATGTGGACTGAATTTCACAGATGCTGAGCTGAGTTTGATGGATACTCAGTGTCACTGAATATCAAAGAAGCTTATTTTATTCCTGTGCACTATCCAACACTATGCATAGTATCCCATTCATTTTAGCTGCAGACAAATTATTAAAAACGTTTACATTTTCCTGCTTGCAAACTGAAACTATTTACCATAGGTGTGGCCTCTGTGAAATCCATCAGGAGGTCACCTGGCTCCAAAGCAAATGTACTTCCAGCATCTGTGGAACTCTAAAGGCAAAGAAGAAACCCAGCATTGAAAAAAAAACCCATTTTATTTCTGTAATTCTGTTGGTTGTTTTTTTTGTGTGTTTTGTTTTGTTTTAATTCCTTAAAGTGTAGATTGCCAAAGGAATTTCAAGTTTCACACCATGTTTTTTAAGTATGGCTACTCAGGAAAGACAGACACCAAAATTACACACCTTTGAAATTAAGGTAAATATTAATTTAATCCTGATCCATTGTCACCCATGTTGATGAAAAACTGTTATTGATTTTTGTTGGGTTTTGGGGCGGGCTCTAAATATTTCCTTACGCAACAGGTAAAACATATTACTAAAACTACATTAAAAACTATTCCAAAATGTAGAATTACTGCCTCTAAGATGTTATCTGCAACTCCCTCCAACCCCTCCTGAATAATCCCAAACTGGCAGAAGTCCACCTCTTTGCATATTACCTTGCCACCAGGTGAAACCTGTGTTTGTCCTTCTGACGTCTGTGGTGTACAGGTTTTCTGTGACCCAGGAGATGCTGAGGACACAGGTGTTGATGCTGCTGCTGCTGCTGCCAATGCTGGAGGAAGGTCATCTTCATCACTGCAGTTTACAAAAGCAGACAGAACTTCTCATCAGAAAATGTCACTGGCCTTTGACCATACTTGTGCTGGAGGAGGCACTGGTAACCTGTACATCAGCTGTAGTGCTTTGGAGTGAAGTTCTGTTTACTCTTCCATGGGTAATGCAGCTAACTTTTCAAGTAAATTAGATTTTTTAAGCTTCAAAGATTGCTCAAAAGTGGATTGGCTAGGTAACTCTCATCTGCAAAAAGAAATCTTACGGGTAGGAAGTGCAAGTAGTATTTCTATGGAGTATGTGTATATGAATATTTGGTATTACTGTACTTTAATGCTTACTCTTTTCTATGGAAGTTGGCAGTACTGATAAGAACAGATCTGGTTAGATTCATCCATGGGCCCAGTTGCTTCATTGGCTTGTTTCTGTTATTGTTTTCAAACTGTTTTTAAAGGATTTGACTGGCTCCAAAAAGGAGCTCTTTAGAAACATTCTTGTGAAGGTATCTTTTTCCTGTTACATTTATTCCATTTACAGAGAAAACATTTTCTTTACAACCAGGTTGCACAATTCCCTCGGGCCCTAGGCTGTCAAGCTGAGCTCTTTCCATCTCACCCCCTGTCACCATTCATTGAAAGCCAGTAGAGGATATTATATCTTCATTTTCCTTTGCAGAGCCCCACTGACTACAAATCATCCCTATCAGTCAGCCCCAAGTCGGGATGTTTCCATTGCTAATTGCAATTGCATGGAGGTAAATGGAGTCACTATTTGGCCTACAGAAGCTTTACTACTGGGAATGATGTGTGAAAAGGAAAGGCTACAGCTTGACAGTTTAAAGCATGGGGAAAAATCATGAGAAAAATTATTTCTGCTCCTAAAATGGCACCAATTTTAACTACCAAGAAGGTGGCCACAGAAGCCTGCCATGCAAGGTTGACAGGTGCTTCCAGAACAGAACTGTACTTAGTTTAGTCCTGCTTGAGGGCAGCATGCCTAGGCAATACAGTACTTCAAAACTACGTGACATACAGGGTACACAGCCTTATGATAGGCTGTTTGGGTGACAGCAATGGCTTTTTAGTATGATATAAAGCTATAGTGACTAATGTTATCTTATCCATGCTTTATTTTTTATTTCTTCTGGGTAAAGACAAAAGTCAGCACCAGAGTATGTACAATACACTGTTTTTATGCTGGAAGGAAAATGCAAAATCTTTTGGACCTGGTCAATAGATATTTTATTAATGCAATAAATGAGAGTTGGGCTGTTGACCTAGTTAGTCTCTCTTTCAGAAACATGTAATTGACATTTTCTCAGTCCTTGCTCCCCACTCTCAGCAGGA